TAAGCATGTAAAACAGATTGCTAATGCTATCTCATGCTAAGGATAAAGGCCTTGTTTAGGATGAAATTTGATGAGAAGTGCAAGTGCATGAGCTGCACAATCATTTTAAATCAGAAATTTGTCTTGCTTTCCTTTAAAAATATTGTACAAAGCATTTTTAAAGCAAGATAAGTAGCTCATTATATAATAATAAATCTTGAAGTTTTCAAGTATTGATAATAGGCCTAGTAATGCACTGTAATATATTAAATTAGATCGAAAGTAAGTCCTTATTTGTGTTTAAATCACACATTCTTGGTATGTGGTCATTTATGCAACTTTTTTTGGGTCCAAAAATATGAATCTTTTGGGCACGTGGTCAACCCTCGGCCCAGCTCTGAATTTATTAGCACATCGTTCCTGTGATTTAGCCGAGTGGCATGTTGCAACATGCACTGAACTGCTGGCTGCCTTTCATTTTTACATTTTTTCCTGCTCATTCCAACAGTGTGAAAGATGCAGGCACTGTCAGACAAACTCATTTTCTCTACCTCAGCCTTTCTTCTCTTCATGCCACAGCCTTTGAATGCACTATCCGTGGATTTCATGCAGAAAAGTTACGTTTTATGTGCAGTACTTGCATTAGATCAGGGGTTCTCAAATGTTTTTTTGAACCAAAGGGCCCTTTCATAATCCCAAACTGTTCAATTACACCACTATGAGAAAATATACTATAGGGGAAATAACAATACAGCAACAACAGACCAAAAAAAAACAAAAAAACAATGCAAGATTTTTCTTCACGGACTCACTTACAGCTAAGCTTTTGTTTCCCATTTGTTATTTCAACCTTTACAGATTCACTCACATTGACTAACATGTAAAAAAAGCAAAATTTTCTTCATACCATTTTATAACTTGTGGTAACTCTTTCTTATCAGGTTATGAATATTAATGAAAATTACTTTGTTTAACTTGACTTTAATTGCTGCATATTAATACTTAATTATTATTAATATTTAATAAATTGAATAAATTATTTATTAAAATAAATGAATATTAAAAAAATTAATTTTATGATAATGCATTATGAATGGACATTTGTTCATTTGTAATAAACAATTGTATATTTTTAAACTAACAATTACTATACATAATGGTTAAGTAATTTCTAAAACAAACAAACAAACAAACAAACAAACAAACAAACAAACAAACAAACAAACAAACAAACAAACAAACAAACAAACAAACAAACAAACAAACAAACAAACAAACAAACAAACAAACAAACAAACAAACAAACAAACAAACAAACAAACAAACAAACAAACAAACAAACAAACAAACAAACAAACAAGCAAGCAAAGAAACAAACATTAGCCTAGATTAATAAATGCTCTAAAAATTGTTTATTGTTAGTTCATGATACCTAATGCATTAACTAATGTTAACAAAAGCATTTCCTAACTTTAATTAAAACATTATGACATCATTTTTTCAAATCAGAATTATTAGTTAAAAACAGTTTTAAAACTAAAACATATATATTTTTTGAAAATTCTTGAAATAAAATAAACGTTAACTGAAATAAGGACAAATAAAAAGTAAGAAAGTATTTCAGCTATTTGCCAAAGAAAACATCTATTTTTTTTAATTTAGTTTAAAATGATGTACTGAATAAAGTAAAATGAATAAAAGCTACATAGACATGTAAAATAAACAAATAAAAATGACAAAAAAACAACAACAACAAAATGACTAAACCTTCAACAAAAATGAAAATGAAAACTTCAAATAAAAAACTAAAATCTAATACAACTATAATAGCATCTCAATGATACTAAAATAACACAGATTTAAAAGAAAATATTTTAAGAAAATTCTATTTGCAGTATGTCTTTTCCACTGAGCCCCTGCCCTTCCTTCTCAGACCCCCAGGGGTCTCTGGATTGAAAACACTGGAGCTAGACTAGCATTAGACCCAAAATGCCTCAGTTGAAGGTTTGGGATTCACAGTTACAGGAACTATATTGTCTTAAGTGGATTATCCACACATAACAAACTTGTTGATAAGCACTGCTCACTTCAGCAGCAATGCTTCAGTTATTCCCATATTTGCAGTCGCTGTGCTTTGTTTTACAGGTTCCCTTCCGTGATAGGAGCCCGTTTTCTTTAGTCACAGATAGGAGTGGAGAGATAAAACACTCAAGCAGTGGCAAATTTTGTGGGTGCGGATAAAGATAAGGATTAAAAAAATCTAAATAAATCCCTGTGAAATCACGTTTATGAAAGAACCATAATATTGCAGAAAGTGATGGCAAAGAGTTAGAAGGTGAGAGAGGGATTTGCCTATGAAAAATCTGACAGGAAAACAAAGAGAGAGGCCAGAGAGTGTCAGCGGCTCTTATCTCATGGAGCAGCAGGGAGCCGTTTATCTATTGTCCGGAGGTGGCAGCACTGTGGCCGTGACACGCACGGTGGAACAATTAACTCGCTGGCATTTTGTCTTATCTAACATAACTCAGCACTGACAACATCTTTGGCCACAGCTGCTGCAAATCATTAGCTATCATTGCCATCCGAGCAACAGAAAGGAAAATAAAAGAGTAGCTTGACATCCAGCATTGTCCCTGTGTGTGAAGGGATGAGGCGTTCCCGGACACTCCGGGACATTATCGTCCTCTGGTTCAATCAGGTTAAAATTCATCTTTTCTCTAAGTCAAAGTCGAGTCTTTTTAGAAAGAAGATAATTTTTTGTGCCCTTTACTTCATTAGGTCTTACTTAGGGGAAGTCGTGGCCTAATGGTTAGAGAGTCGGACTCGTAAGCCAAAGGTTGCGGGTTCGAGTCTCGTACCGGCAGGGATTGTAGGTGGGGGGAGTGAATGTACAGCGCTCTCTCCACCTTCAATACCATGACTGAGGTGCCCTTGAGCAAGGCGCCGAACCCCCAACTGCTCCCCGGGCGCCGCAGCATAAATGGCTGCCCACTGCTCCGGGTGTGTGTTCATGGTGTGTGTGTGTTCACTGCTGTGTGTGTGTGCACTTTGGATGGGTAAATGCAGAGCACTAATTCCGAGTATGGGTCACCATACTTGGCCACATGTCACGTCACAAATCTCTCTTACAATGAAGTGAATATAATTTTTGAATGCAATTTTATTCTTCCTTGGATTTTCTGGTGTCTTACGACTGAAATTTCCCAACTAGAATATTCATGACTTGAAATCTGCCACTCAAATATTAAAATTAACCCAAGTTTGAGTCCCAAACTTGATAGAATCTATCTATCTATCTATCTATCTATCTATCTATCTGTCTATCCATCCATCCATCCATCCATCCAGTTGTTTAATTATATATATATATATATATATATATTTCATGTTTAAGATTCATATAATTAATAGATTCATAGAAAACCATAAAATTACATTTGCAGGCAAATTTTTTGTCTAAATCTGGCACAATTTCTATTCAATCAATCGCAAATAAACAAAATTATTACAAAAATTGCTCAATTAAAGGTTTGCCACAAGACATAAACAACTTAATTTAGGGCTTAAAAACTCTTGTTAGTTATTTTTAATAACTTTAATTATAAAATGCACAACCTATAAACAAGCATTAATAAAAACTTTACATTGTGGCCTTTTGTGGTTCATGATGTACATTGACAGCCACAACAATAAAGACCACAACCTGGTGTTTTTTCTTTTTTTACATCTTAGTCCTTCACTTCAACTTCTTTGCTGTTTTACCAGGGTAAAGGGCGTTTCACATTGAGCGTGATGTGAAAAAGCGAGGCGAATCACAGACGAATGGTGCTTTCACAATGGGCACGAAACGACTGATCGCCAATGCATTTTTCCTCAGATATGTAGGCACTATCTCGTATATGAATTTAACATCATCCGCTGCTCAATATACAGCATTAAATTAAGATAAATAAAGCTTGAAACACAAACTATCTATAATGATTACAAGAATACATCTTAAAATATAATTAGAGGTACAGTTAGCATCAAGCTACACTTGAAAATGTATGTGATTATTATGTATTGCTTAAAACCCACTTTAAACCATCATCGAGGAGGGCTTTTAATAACTTCCGATTGTGACCTAAAGTTGATTTTGATTCTATAATAGGCAGACATGCACTCTTTGCATGTTTTATAATGGATTGAATGCTACACCTGCTTATCATTTGTCATAAACATCCTTTATTGTTATGAAAATATCATGAGCTGCATAAAAACACAAACAGAAAATATATATCGACACAATCATATGTCTATTTTCTTTAATATTTCATGTGTAGAAAAATGTTTCTCTTAATTTTTTTCATAGGGAAGGGCAGGAGATATGATCACATGATTGACTCATGACTCATAACACTCGCGCACGTGGAAGAAAACGGACAGTGCCCTTCATAACACGTAATTCAGTGGAGAATTAATAGAAATTATATTCTTTATAAAGAGCATGTGAGAATAAATCTATTCTCAGATATGAATGATATCAAGAACTCAGCATCCACTCTATGTTTGTATACACTGGTTTTTGAAACCACACCACCACTGTCGCCCTTTTGTGCAACAGAGACACGTGATCTAAGCTCAAATCTAATTGGACGGCCCATTTCATCGCGGAGCGAAAAATCGCCACACAAGATGAAAAATAATCCTCACTTTCACATTCTTGTGCCGAGAATGATCGCGCCTGGTGTGAATAGCCCCATAGGGATCTATTGTTTCGATCCGAATTTTCGCGTTCAGTGCGAAAAGGCCTTAAGTCTACTCTAAATTGAGTTCATTCTACTTGATGAACAGGACCCTGTATTCATGACAAATGCCTTTTCACAGTAGATACAACACATTTACGCTTTTAGAGTCAAATGCATATAAAATTAGTGGTACATTTGTAATGTAAACAATGTAAAGAGCATTTAAAAATATAATCAAATAATAAGTTGACACGTACTTCAAAAAAACAAAAAACAAAACTCAATAATGTTATAAATATAGGTTTCACTTGGAAGCTACATGTGAAGACAAAGTCCTTCACTTCTCAGACTCTCTCCAGCCTTGAGCATTTCGGCCGAACTTATAAACAAGTCTACGTCCATCCACCCGTTCCAGGATCTCTCGTTTATAATAATACCTTTGGAGAGAAAGAAACATGCAAGCAGCTCAGAATACTGATCAGAATCCTTTAAAAAGTTGCAAAATTCCAGGGAAGATGTTACCTCATCGCTCGACTGAGTTTCTCATAGGTCATACTGCTGTTATTTTTCTTCTTGCCCCAAAGCTGAGCCACGGCTTCCGACTTAAGGAAGCGGAAAACCCCCTCGGAGCGATCCTCCCATTTGATCAGGCCGGGGTTACGCTCGGGGTTCAGGAGAATGTCTCGGATGAACTCCCATAGGTGCGTCCCGCGAGGGTCTGTGGAAATATGAGACTGTGTGAACGTAGTTAGATGAGAATCACAAGGAATCTAAAGCAGTTTCAAGACTTGAAAAGGCACATCCACGTGCAAGAGGTTTCGGTATGTGCTGCTGTCAGGTTCTCTAGACAAACACCGGGTGAAGTTCAGGACACATTAACAGAAAAAAAAACCCTTCGGTGAAGTAAGATGTGAAAATTTTCAACTCACTGTGTCTTTTGACTTGTGACCGCTTGGGATCTGAAATGAGAAAATTAAAATGAAACCACATTTATTAAAGTGACAGCTTACGTTTCTTATGGATCATGGAAAACTTGTGAATAGTAACTTCAACTTTGGCTTTTGAAAATTAGGCTTATTGACTACTTCAAGGGTACTTTGTTGTCCTTTTTGTAGTCAGTATTCATTTTCATTGTATGGAAAAGATCAGCTTGGACATTTTATGTTCCATGGAAGAAAAGAAAAATCACAGTTTCAAAATCAGTCCATTCAGGGGACTGGAGGAAAACCGATTGGGGAAGTGCATGTGTTATAAGTATTTTTAGTTCCTGTGTTTAACTGTCTAGTTTAAGTGTCTGTGGGTGGACTGTAAAGATTTTGTTCCATATCAGTAGCTTTGCAACAGCGCTGCATGCCTATCTAATTGGTCTGATCTCAGTCCTTTGTGCCTGCTGTGAACAAATCATTTCAGTTATGTAACACAGGCGATAAGGAAGAACACAGCAAAGAGACCCGGGGCAAATGGCATTGTATTATAACTATAAACCTTTCTCTATAAAAATATTTATTTGCAAGGGTGTTAAAACATACATTTATGCATGCATATGTATGCATTTGGTAGATGCTTTTATTTAAACCAACTTCCACTGCATTCAAGAAATACATTTGTATCAGTTAATGCATTCCCGGGAACTGAACCCATGTCCGATACAATACATAGATGCATCAGGATAACTTAACCTTGAACATTCTCAAAGTTTTTGGACATTTACCATAGTAGTACCCTGGAGTACCATGGTATTACCCTCAGACACAATCACCATACCATGGTATCGGCATAGTACTTTTTTATATGGAAGCAAGGAGAATGCTGCTTTTAGGATAAGATTTAGTGCAGTTCAAATTAAGATCATTTACCTGGGCTTGAGGGAGCAGGTGAGGATAATATGGTGTTGGGCTGGAATGAGCTTTTGAAATCAAACAGTTCTGAGGAAAGAGAACATATGACACAATATTGTCAAACTGTTAGGTTAAATAAATAATATATACACACATCATCTTTTTTTAACAGGAAATACATAACCAAATAATAAAAAAAAAATTTAAAATCATAATTTCACAGGTACCTGAAGTGTTGTAAAAGTTGGATTCTTCCTTGAAGGGGAGGATTGAACAAGGGAAGTCTGCTGAGGAAATTGAAGTACTTGGTTACAAAATCGTGATATGAAAAGTCTATTTCAAGAGAATCTGTAAACTTCTGTTTTCAGCAGCAGATGTGGGTCAATGTTAAGTCACTGAAACTTTATGCTATAAGGATTGAAATGAAACCAAAAGCTCTTTTAGTTTTACTTTGTGTGTGGTTACTTACTCTCTACTTCTGTTTTAATGTCCCCTGGTGTAAACATATCTGTGTGACCATACTGACCTGTGAGACATTAAATAAAAAAGACAAAAAAGAAAAATGAGTGCCTAAATATGTCTCCATAACAGTGCTTATTTTGTAGTGACTACCATCAAATTTCTAAGTCACTCTCGCATCATGTTGCTAACCAGTTTAACTTGTTGGTATGGTTCTCACATGACACCTGTATATATTTTTCTGGTCTTTATTAGGTTTAGTATTACACTGTAATGGAAAGTGTATTAAACTTATAGCACTGACTGTTTATGAACTCTGGGTCTCGTTAGCAACACCCTCCTGGATTTATGATCCATTTCATAATTTGTTTCTCTAAAAGTCGAAAGGAAATAGGAGAGAGGAGAATGGGATTGCAAAAAGGCCACAAGCTGGGACTCAAACTTGGGTCACCCAAAATCTATGGCTCCAACCTTGATTATCCTCCTTTATTGATCATGAAATAACATTCCTAGCAAACAATCGAAAGCCAAACCCTATACCTACTCAAAAATAACCTTACCGTAACATACCTATTCAGAGAGAATAAGGAAAACTATAGATTGACAAGAAGTGCTAACTTAAAGTCAACTTTCAAACGCAACCATAACAATCTGGTATCTCGTTGATAATGTTGATGCAGGACCAACAAAGTTGTTGATCCAGGAACATGGCAAAATCACATTAACCATCTCGTTCAGGGTTGGAAGAGTAAACAGAGTTAAGATGCATACCGTTCCACTTAAGGTCAGTCAGGCTTTGGAAAAGAATGGAACCTAAGGATCCGGCTGCTCGGGTGAAGTCTTGGAAGCTCATGTTGCACAGTTGCCTCCCGTCAAGGTCAAAGTTCTGGAAGGGAATGCTGGTGGCATCAATTTGGTGCATGTCCAGCGTCTGTTGGAGCCATTCCCACACCTGGTACTTGGTCCAGTTTTGTGGGTGAAGATCCTGAGACCAGAGCCGGCTCATGTAACCGGATGTCACTGCGGATGCAAGTTGAGGGAGAATGGTTTCAAAAGGGTTTAGTAAATGTCCCTACTGAAACCTGGTTGGTGCAGATTTGGTGCTGGTCAGGGTTGGTCTTTTTAGTGTAGTTGGTTGATCAAGAGAAAGTCTTGCTGGGCACCAAATAAAAATACTAAGTTGACCAGAATGAAGTTAAACTGTTACAAGCTGGTTATAGGAGCTGTTCAAGTTCAAATCATAGTGTTCTCAGCAAAGCTTGCTGGTGAAGTTGGTTCACTAGAATGGTAATTTTGTTGAAGCAGGTTGATTGAGGAAGTATTGTTTGCTTGTTTAGCTAGAGCAAAGGTCTTCAACCCTACTCCTGGGGACCCATAATCCTGCAAAGTTTATTTCCAGCCTGCTTCAACAAACGCACCTATGATTTTCAAGCAGTTCTGAAGACCTTGATTGACTTGTTCAGGTCTGTTTGATTAAAGTAAGAGCTAAACTCTGCAGGATAGTGGGTCTCCAGGAGCAGGGATGTAGACCTTTGATAAAGATGATTACAACGCACTAGCATCACATGTAGGAACCAACATCCAAAACACAATATACTGTATGCTGTAGAACAGCTAGTTTTAGCATTCAGATATATACTGTAAAATGTGTAAATAAAAGTACTGCACATGGTTTCTAGATAAACGTGAATCATTTTCACTATCTGTACATGGTCCCTTATGCAGGCAACTGATAACCTGGTAACTCCAACAGTGACTGCTAGAGAAAATGATTAGCCTGCCAGAAAAGTCTCTGCTGATTAGCGATAAACGAAACCAACAACCTAAAATCTGTACCGGAATTGTACTGGATGCAGGAATATTAGGCTCTGTTAATAGAGAAAGAACGTTACCATCAGCGCAGTTGTAGTGGGTTGTCCAGGAAGCGGGTGGCTGGTTGTCAACACTCACAGTAGCTGGGATACTCATGACACCGCTGGCCTGAAGGACCATGATCCAGTGCTGTGGAAAGAAATGGAAAGGAATGTTTATTTCTTGCCATACAACCAGAAACGATTCTGCAACTTTCACACAATGTAAGAGCAACTTGGACTAGAAAAGTCCAACTTAGCCTTGGGCATAAAGCTGATGCTTTCTAGCTTGTTCTTTGTGGGATTTGACCCAACAACCCTCTGACTTAGCCTTACACTGCACCATCCTTGTTGAACGGGAGAGTGACAGCACACTTGACGACATTCTTTTAATAGTAAACATATATACTGTGCCAAACGTGGACATATAATTAAAGTGTAGACGTTATACCAGTTTACAGTTATGATTGGTGAGGGAAAACAAAGGTCTTTTATATGTTCAAAGGGGTAAAGGGAGGGGGTGAATTTTGTGTGGGTGTCCTTCGTGCCACGTTCAACCACACATGCAGACACATTTGCACAGGAATGTGTCAGTGTTTCTAACCGCTTTGCATACATAAAAGTTCCACCTGTCCTTCAGTTTAACAGTTAGATCAATGGTGCAGTCATACCTTGTATCATATGATCTTTCAGCATTATACAAAACACTGTTTAAAACCATCTACTGCTGTAGTGCATCTGTGTCGTGAGTTACAGGTTAGCTGAAAGCTACTGCATTAGCACCATTTTGTGCAGGTTTTCTATACAGGATTTCAATGAAAAACATGAGCATGATCGAATCCCGATCAAGTATCCTGAAATGTCTTTTGACCCTATATAAAATAATGTTCTTATGATCATTTAAAGGGGTCCTATTATGCTTTTTCACTTTTTCAACTTTAGTTAGTCTGTAATGTTGCTGTATGAGCATAAAAAAGATCTGCAAACTTACAAAGCTCAAAGTCCACTTCAAAAGGAGATATTTTATTTAACAGAAATCACTTTTCAAAAACTACAACGAACGACTCGTTTGGACTACAATGCATATTTTTTTCCGGGATTTGTGATATCACAAATATCGACGAATGGCACGAGACCTGGTTGAGCTGCACTAGAGAAGGCAACGAGTGTTATCACTATGTCGGAGACACGCTAGCTTTCCCAAGACAGACGAACTTAGAATGGTTATAATCATCCGGGTTTAAATCGCGCTCAAATTGATTTGATTTTGACGCAATATTTACACTGAAGCTCGCAGGCGGCTATGGTAAGGGGTATGACATTTCCCGACCTGGCGCAGAGTGGAGCCAATCACAACACACACTAGCCCAGCTAACCAATCACAGCACATTTCGTATTTCAGAAGGCGGGCCTTCATTTGATACAGGAACTATTCGAGCCGTTCATGCCAGACTGGGGAGAGAGGTGTTGTAATAATGTAAAATATGTGAAAAATAATGTGTTTTTCGAACAACCTAGTATGAGAGCCTGTTCTAGTACACCCCCAAAACAAAATCAAGACTTTGTAAACGAGCATAATAGGACCCCTTTAAAAGTCTAGTTTAAAAGCATTGTAGACCCTATTCCAAAAGGTAGGCATCTTGATTATACAACCCTCCTGCGATACCTCAAAACGTCAATGAAAAATCCAAGATGGTGAAAAAAAAAAATGTTTATTGTAAACGCACTTTTAAAATTCGAAAGTATTTTAAGCAATATTTGTTCGTGCTATGAATGTTTATGCCTATTTTATGCTTGAGTATATTGCTCTGTTAGCAACATGCTAATGTGACACTCAATAGAAAACCATTGTAAATAAAAAAAATTATATTTTTGTGGTCGCTACTTATGGTGACTGTTACAAAACGGTCATTTATGAGGTTCTATGAGGTTTAAGATGTTGGTTTATGTCGCATTGGATATTCTAACGTTATTTGCGTGCTCAAATGAGATGTATAGCTCACTACAGTACACTCAACTACAGTATCTCACATGACATGGGTCACGTGATGTCCAATGTATTCCTATTGGCTGTCCCATCAGGATGATGCTCATTTGCATAAAGCTAGACCTTTCTCAACTTTGTTGCATTACTGGACATTCCCAAATCATATAAACATTAACTTTCACTAAGGTCGTAGGTATGGTTGTTTTGACGCTTCAAGTTGCTGTTAGTGTGAATGTCCTCTTAGAAGGCAGAAAGACCTTGCTAGGTTTTGGAATAGATATATAAATCCAGATAACAATCATATTATACAAGGAAAACTTCAGGACATGAATGTATCAAAAGACACTTGCATGGTAAAAATGTGATTCAGCAGAGATATAGTAAAAATTACATTATTTACAAGAACTAAGTATATTGATATTCCTTGGAACGATTGTAAACCTGTTTAGTTTGATGTCTTAGTCAACTGTGGAAAATTCTCTTATATATTAGTGTTTAAAGTTGTATGTGAAAAACTTCCTACTTGAAATCTGGCCTATATTTGTCTTTTTATTGATCCTAAGATGACCTGGCAGATCATTTTATGGAATGTGTGTAAAACTGGGGGAGCTATGCTAACAATAGATAATGTTCACACCAAGAGCAAATAAAGGAAATTAGAGACATAGCATTTGTTTTGTCCTAAAAAAACCTTCAACCAAAACTTAGTTAAAATAAACTGAAACATTGAATTTTAGCCTTACTCCTACATTAAAATTAAATCATTGTATTTTTTATTCTTTAATAATTATACAAATATTTTATGAATATGTAAATAATAATATTAATAATTACTAAAATTAATTAATTTGTGACACATAACTTTTACAGATTTCCAATTATGAATGGACATTTTGCATAATAACAGTCCTTTGTCTAGCATAGTGATATGAATCTATTTTTTTTTAATGGAAAGATCTTTCATAAATCAAATTACTAATGAATTGTTCTTTGTTTCTTTTAACTGGAAAAGCAGGTTGCCAGATTCGTTTCACCATTATGAAACCCATCTGATGTATTTCATCCCAGACTGGTGTGTTACTATGGTGATGTCTACTGTAATGTATGAGGAAAGAAAACTATAAACATATTTTGGTGTTTATGACATTTCTTACAGTAACTGACCCAACAAGCTGGGCTACAGGCCGTCATCTTCCTTTACCAATCAGTTATGGAGAAATAGGGGCCATTTACACTCAATTTGTATGTGCTGTACACAGTATGCAAAGTGTTTCCAAGTTTCAGAGGCCCCAAATAGAATTTGGACGCTCAAGTTACAATTAAATGTATGAATGTCACTGCATTACATAAAAATAATCAAACCAAGTGGCATCTGCTAACAAATGATTCTTTTCATAAAACTGTTAGCAACTGTTCATTAACTGTTCCCAATTTAGAGGATGTACAAGTCAAGTCCACTAATTTATGATGACCGCAAAGTACTTTTTATTTATTTTAAACAGTATACATTTTTATACTTTAAAACCTAAAAAAATGTCTTTTTGTGAAATGTTTGATTCGAAAAGTTGCTTGCTTTAAAATCATTTCTTGAGTTTAACATTTTCAGTTTGCTCTAATCCAAATATCCCTATCAAATATTTCTTGATTTCGAACTGGTTTAATATGCATTTATGCAAAAATATGTAAAAAATAACAAAAATAAAGCAAATGGTGATTTGTTGCCCAAAGTAAAAGCAAGGACAAAAAAAAAAAAAGGCACAAAATTCACATTCCTTTTAAATATAGTCACATACATTACAACTATTGTATGTCACTTGTTAAATTAAAATTGTTTTGCATCATCATCTGGGATCATCATTGAAGTGAATCAGTGAATGAAACCTTTTCTGCAGAGAATCAAAGAGAATTAAAGTGTCTCATATTGCTCACCAGAGATGTTGAATGTAATCCAGGCGGACTGCTGCTGGTTCAAAGTTAAATGTTTCTTTCTTCTCTTTCTAAAGTTGTCAGCGTCTGTATGGGAGAGACGATTTGAGTTTTAATGGAGAGGTTGCGTTGTGACACCTGTGACACTGCCTAGGCCTGCCAAACGTCTGTGACAGATTGCGACCTCGTTCACCAATGAGGATTTTATTCCGTCTGCTTCCTGCTGCTTCGATTGGCTCATTTTCATGCCAGGTGGGGTACTAGGAATTTGCATACGGTAAAAAAGGTACTGTTGTAGCAAGTCACTTTCACTATGAATACACTATCAGTGTCTCTCTCGCTCACCCACACACTCACCCACATGCTTCAGCAATCCTGCCTGTGATTAATCTATTGATGTTTAACAAGAACTCAACTATCCAGTTTATTGAGATTAAAACGTATATGCATGCTATGTACAGTTGGTATAGGAAAGAATCACCCCCTTTAAAATAATCAAATTTTGTTGCTTTGCAGCCTGAAATGAAGACGGGTTTTTGTTTTATCCAGCTGTATTTACTCAGTGCAACTTATAACATCCAAGTGAAAGATATAACACCAACATGTCAGAAAAAAACAAAAAAAAACAGAATCACTGAATTGGAAAAAGGCTCACCCCCTTGTGTCAGTATTTTGTTGATACACCTTTTGCTTTAATTACAGCCTTTCATCTGTTGGGATATGTCTCTGTCTCTACTAACTTTGCACATCTAGACTTTGCAATATTTGCCCACTCTTCTTTGCAGAACTGCTCAAGTTCAGTTAAATTAGATGGTGACGGTTGGTGGACTGCAGTCTTTAAATCATTCAATGGAGTTTAAGTCTGGGCTCTGACTAGGCCATGCAAGGACATTCACATTTTTCTCCTTCAACCACTGTGTGCTCAGTTTAACTGTGTGCTTTGGGTCACTGTCATGTTGGAACTTGGAAGGTAAACCTTCTTCCCCTTGACAACTATCTGGCAGAGGGCAGCAGATTTTCCTCAAGATTTTGATGGCATTTTGCCCCGTCCATGTTTCCTTCTATCCTCACAAGTGCTCCAGTCCCTGCTGCAGAGAAACTACCCCATAACAGGATATTACCACATCCATGCTTTACTGTAGGAATGCTGTTATTTGGATGGTTTGTGAAAAGCGCTATATATATATATATATATATATATATATATAGCATAAATTAAAAGCAGTGAAATGAATGACAACAGCAATGCAGTAATAATTCATCACAAAATAGTAAAAAAAAAAAAAAATCAAAACACACCAAACATTGGGAATCCTCTACTGTATAATATGACCCATCATTAACTGCTTACACCCAGACAGCTTGTTAGCATAAGCAAAACAACCTCCTCACACTGCAAACCCCATTGTCTTACAAAACATGATCAAAACACAAGCCGCGTGTCTCCCGTTCTCAGAAGAATGTGCTGCTTCCTTGATCAGAGGTCTGAAAGCTCACTGACATACACAGAAACAGCAGGCCCTGAGCGCTCAGGTTAGTGGGAAGCTTTACAGAATTTATTAAGGAGGCTCTGAAGCTCTGAGACATAATGGGTAAATCACAGAGGAACTGTGCTTCACTCTGACTCAACATATGTGCTGGATATTATGTACATCTGTGGCCTCACACACTTCGGCCAAAGCAACATCTGCACAGCAGCTCAAAGCAAAAGCACAAAAAGATTTGCTGTCACGATTTGAGACATTAGTTAATAAGCAACAGAGTTTGCATTGTGTGGAGTGTGAGAAGTTTTGTGAACTGAAAATCTTTAAATAAAATATGAATTTAATATGATATGAACAGTTATTTTATCATTATTTATATACTGTTATAGTCATTCATATTTTGAATTAACTTTTATTTTAATATTTTTAATTTTAGTTTATATTTAGTAATTTGCACATTTTTATTTTTTAGTTTTAATATTTCTATTTAGCTTTTAAACATTTTTTCTTCAACGTAAATATATTTTATTTCATCCAAGTGAAGCTGCCAAGTTTTTTTTTAAAGTTATTTGTTTCATTATTTATATTTAATTTTATTTCAACTTAATTTGAATTAAAGAAAACACTGGATGATTTATTTTATTTTATTGGAATTTAAATATTAGTAGTGAAATATAAATTTTTATTGTATTTTATTTTTGTAAGATTTGGATAAAATAAGTAAAAGCAAATGAAAAGGAAAATTAATCTCAAAACAGTAAATAAATAAAAGCAAACCAAGTATTGCCACACATGATAACCTTAATAAAAAACTTAAATAGTTCCTATATAGAACTAAAATAGAACTAAATTCATAATTAGTTTTCATATGTGCGATTGTCCCATCTGATGCTGTGAATATGTTATCATCTTACTAGCTTTAACTGTTGTAAGAAGGCCCACTTTGATTTATTGACTTGTACATTTGAAAGACTCTGAGCTGAAAGTCCCCTCAAAACGTAGTGAATTGTTTTCGTTTTATTTCACTGTACCCTTTCAAACACTGTCAAGATTAAATTAAGATCTAATCTTGCCAGGCTTAGATTTAAGACCAGTATTTAGGCTGAGTCATGAGGAACCGCTGCCAGAAAACTCAGTCTGAAAGTGAGACGTTCGCTCAGTCGGTGAGAAAGGGCTACAGTGCTCATTACATATGAGAAATCCTTCTTTCCGTCCTTCCCTTCATTTTCACGATCCCTTCATTAGGCTCTCATCAGCACGCTCAAAGCTGTCATCTTTAATATTTCACACGAGGTAGAGAAAGAGACAGAGAAAAGAAAGAGAGTGGATGATTTTATTAGGGTCAATTACAGCTACAAATGACAATTTCTCAGGCTAAATTGCAATTTTACATCCTTTTTGTGAGAGAACAATGACTATGTAATTAGAGCAATGAGCAGCGCATCAGCTGAATGATTTCTGCCGAATGAGGAGTTTCTTGTGTGTGTGTGTGCATATATACTCACGTGTGTGTTACACACTTGGCTATTTGTTGAACATTGCACGTGATGTTCAAGTAATTACACATAATGTCTAATTACACTAGTTGAACTGGAGAGTCCTATGTTGTGGTGTGTTATTACCGTATGTGCCTGTCTTCCTTTCTCCTCCTGCACAGCTGCATTCTGGGAGGAGCGGGTCAGTACACCTGCAGTTCTTCTCCAGGCCACTTGATGGCACTGTGAGCTCACTAAAGTTGCTGGAACAGCACAAGTGCTTGTTTAAAATATGACAGCTGTCACGTAAACCACTACTTGGCATGTAGTTTTTCATTCGAGATATATATTTTTAATTTCACTTGTTTTAGCTTTGCAAGTTTTACAAGTACAAAGACTTTACATTGTGTGAACTGACCCATGAGAATGGGAAATGGTAGATAAGGACTTTCTCATGTAGGAGACACACAGTGCGATTACACATATTTTGAGAAACAAACCAGAGAAAGGAACAAAGAAGGTAGAAAAAGGCAGAAAGAGTTTGTTTATACACTTAACAACCATAATGCAAGCAAAAAACAAAAACAACCAAAATCAGTGGTGCGGGTGGCTGCATAGATATATGTATCTATGGGTGGCTGCCATTCGGTTGCTAGGGCGTTTTGGGTTGTTGCTTATAGGCCCAAATCAAAAGAGTCCAATGTCAAGATTTTATGTCATCCTGTTCCCTAGATATGATTGTAAATCTATGGGATTTTTTAGGAATACATGATATATTGATACTATATCGCTCATTATGCATAATAAATGATTGTATAAGAATGTGTAATAAGAATGTGTAAATAGTACTAAATTATTGTTATATAAATATAGGCCTACATTAAATTAATATATATACAAATATAAATCTAAATTTGAAATATAAAAAATATATAAAAGAAAAATAGATAATATAAAATACATAATAATTAATAATAATAATAATTATTATTATTATTATGAATATTATTGTTGTTGTTGCTGTTGTTGTTAATTGCTAAATAATCATTATTATAGAATAGTATAAAATTTCACTGCCATAACATGAAAATAATTATCGCCTTATCAGAATCAGAAGACTTTTAATATCATCCACACAATATGGTACATCCCCTAAATTTCTTTAACCGTTTAACCATCTTTAAAGTAAAAATCTTAAAGGGGTCATATGATGCGATTTAAATTTTTCCTTTCTATAATGTTTTTTTTAGCAACATCATATGACATTTTTAAGTCTGATCACTTAGAAACAGCACACCTCTTCTCAGCAATCTGCACGATTTGAGGGTTGTAGCATGCTAATTATGTATTACATTTTAATACATAAGCTTAAAGTTCACAGATCACAAAAGTATGAGCGCTAATTAGAAAAGCTTGAGGTTTAGTACCCCATGATCTGTGTTCTGTACAAATGGCCTTCTTTGAAGTCCACCTGCAAGTCTGTGTTGTTAAATTAGCAATGCTCTCTATAGAAGCATAAACCCGTTATCTGTTACATGCCTGGCAGCCTGCAGGCTACGGCCCAAGCAAACCTCCAGTGACCGGCGTCTGCCGGCCAGCGCTGCCCTCGAAAATCACAACCGCCACGGATTTCTCTGGCTCTGCTTGGGCAGAAAGGCTTGGGGAAAGCTCGCTTCTGATTGGCTGGACATCGGTAGAGAGGTTTAAATTGGACAACAGAGGACGGAGCTCTTCTGGAATGATAGTCGCTCTGAAAACCACAGGGTGTGCTAAGGTTGTAAATACACAGACCGAGTCACAGATGGGTAAATCTCACACACACATACACACACACACACACACACACACACACACACACACACACCATTTCGAATCATTTTGGTGTGCTGCCCACATTCCGTCATTCCGTAGGAACGCCACGAGTTCTTATGGAAGAACCTTGACAGGATTTTGCAACAATTATAGTGCTAAATTAATTCTAAAACATTCATTCAGACAGAACTGAACGCCGCTCCGGAGCTCAGCGGAGGGGAAGTGAGCTGTTGGCGCCAACATCGTCTGGCAAACCATGAAAATAATGAAAAAAAACCTAACAAAAAAACAACAACAACAAAAGCAAATGCGCAAACAAACAAGCCAAATCATGCGATTACACCAACAAAGTGCACTTTTAGGTCGAACGTATCTCTCTCGTCGAGCAT